ATATCTTCTCCTTGAACCCCTGTAGACCCTCCGTTTCCAGCATTTCATAATCGTCGATGTCGAGCCCCTTCCATACGTCTTCTACAACCTTGACCCATTCCGTGGATTGTCTACCCCTCTTTTGATTGCCCACTTCGCCTCCCATACAATTCTCGGCAACCTCTCCTCTCCCATCCCGCACATGCGATACTACCATGTCAGCTTCCTCGCGTCTCTTCCCGACCGTAGGGATTGGATCCCCATTTCTGCCCTGACGGCTGCATTACTTGTGCGCTTGGAGCATCCTAGGATGATTTTCGCTGCTTTCATCTGCGCCGTCTCGAGTTCTTTCACTACCTTCTTATTTCCTGCCCTTACTTCTCCGGCGTACTCTGGCGGCGGTATGATTACGCTCTTCAAAACCGTCGATTTGATGCGTGTATCGAGGTGCCGGTTTGCGAGTATTGGGTGCAGCTTCCCTGCTCGTGCTTTGCCCTTTTCCGCTACCTTGGACATGTGTGCATTCCACGAGCAGTCTTTTGCGATCTCTACTCCGAGGTATGTGTACTGGTCCACTACTGCAATCTCCTCGATCCCCCACTTCCATCTATGTTCTACTGGTTCCTCCTTGTTCTCGTTGCATACCATGACGGCACTCTTCTGAACGTTGGCAGACAATCTCCACTTATCAGTAAACTTCTTCGCCGCGTCAATTTGCAGTTGCAGTCCCTCAGGGGTGTCCGACATACCGACAAAATCATCCGCAAACAGCATTCCTGAAACCGACGTTTCCGTGTCCCCTACTTTTACTCCCTTCCGGACTGCCTCTACGACTTCCAACAGATCGTTGATGAACACCTGGAACAATGTTGGGGACAGCGTGCAACCTTGTGGGACCCCCTGCTCAATGTCGAAGAATTTTGACAGTTCTCCGTCTAGCATGACCGCGCTTTTCGTACACTCTGTCATCTTCTTCAGCACTCTCCACATTTTCCCCTTGATCCCGTATTTGACAGTTGTTTCCACAGTCCATTTCTCCATACGGCATCGAATGCCTTTTTCACGTCCACGAAGTGGCAGTACGTCGACTTTCCCGCCCTCTTTCTACCTTGGATGATTGTCCCTACCGTGAATACGTAGTATACGCACCCCCTCTTCTTTCGGAAACCTGCCTGGCCCTCACTATTGCGATGTTCCTTCTCCAATACTCCCACTATCCTGTCGTTCAGCAGCTTACAGAACACTTTTCCTACTGTGTTCAACAGTGTGATCCCCCTGTAGTTTCCTGGGTCAGTCTTGTCTCCTTTCTTGAACAAGTTCACAACCACTCCTTCCCTCCATCTACTTGGCGTATACTCGTTTT